CGTCAAAAGGCAACTCGTTTAGTGACCTCGCAGTTGTAGCTACACAAGTTTGACCGTCATAACTTCTGGCAGGTGGAGATGAATGAGACGGAAAAGAACCCGGATGTGGCGACACAAACCCTTTATCGTTGTTGGGATTCTTCGGCCGTGATTTCCGAAGATGAACATAATCGCAGTGTCAATGTCAGCAAAACGGGGGACCTGTCAGCAACACAAGCTGCTTCACTGATGTACCATGGAAGGACTTTTACAAATAGTTCTCACTGTGTCTTTGCTATGTCAGCTAGACATTCTCCTGTAAGCATTAAGGGTCCATTGAGCATGTCACAATCTTTTGAGGCAGAATCCAGCTTCATTGGACCCAAGATTTACCAGCAAAGCCAGTGCCAGTGGAGCATGTGGATCTGGTGGCAATGACATGCCTCCTCCACCCCCACCCACGAAACCAGAGAGGGAGAAGCGTATTCCAAAGCCCAAAACCGCAGAACAGGAAGCCAAATCTGTATCTTGGTTCAACAAACATGTTGCATCAGTCACAAATTCTGACATGACTGGAACCAAAAGGTCACCTAAATTGGTTTCTTTGCTCCAAGCAACCCAGGCGATGTCTTTGGCAACAGGCTTAATTTTGGAATGCGAAGGCTGTTGAAACAAGACTTGTTTGCTAGTGTTGCCGAGCATCAGGGGTTTTCCCTATTGTTTGGATCTCCAGGATGGGACCACAAGCTCACAGCGGCACATGTGTTTTGGGCTCAGTGGGAAATGTATCTAGATCTTTGAAGGCCATATATGTGTTTTGCCATGCAAGGCCGAATCAATTGCGAGAGGCGGTTGTCAAGGATCTTGGGGTACATTTGGAAGCCCTCAAGCAAGCACGCCAGGGAGTTGAAGTTGGGAACTTGGAATTTATCAATCACCATCCCTGAAGTGTCTCACCATGTGAGGTCTGTGTGTCCCGTGGAAGTGGCGATGATGCATTGCGAAGTGAGACCCAAAAGCTGGCAAAAGCCATTGCTGATTACAAACAAATGGCCAAGAGTGTCAAAGGGCTGGAGAACCAGAATAAGCCAAAGTGCGCATCGAAGGCAAAGGCCAAGGCAAAGGCAAAGGCAGCGGCCTGAACAGGTGCTGCATATTTTGGGAAAATCCCTCATAGCATGGATCCCTTCAGCAGGGGCAGGTTGGCAGGTACTGCAGTGCATGCTGCTTAAATCTTTGGGCTAGTCACCCTGGCACCAGTACATGTTTAATGAACATCTAGCAAAACTCATACTCGAGCATGGTTGTTTTCCCACTCGGAGCCAGGGTGCAGGGATGGATTGTTGCGGCTTAATCATTGCTTTCTTGCAGCCTGACCTTAAGCTTAGATCCGTGAGGTCAGCTTAGCAATCTTGAACGCTTGGGTGTCCTGCACGGCCATCAAAAAAACCTGGTCATGGATGGTCATGGCTTGTTTGAAGTTCCCTCCTGTGCAGTTTGTATACACTCAAGAAACTCAGTAAACTCCTGTGCAGTTGACTGAATGCCCCAAGTCTGTGCTAGCTCAATCAAACAAGCTCAGTCGATGATCTCCGAAAAGAAAAATGGGCTCCGAGATCTAGTGTGTGCACTAGCTCTGATTTGGCCATCTCACAAGTCCAATCCCCAGTCCAGTCCCAAGACAAGAAACAATTCCAAACCATTGCCCTTTCAATGCTGCCTCGCAGATGTATCCTTTGCCGAACATCTTCTCTCCACACTTGGACGTGGTGTAGCTCGGCAGCACCAAACATGGCTCCAGCTTGGTCCCAAGCATTGGGTGAGTCAAATATAGTGGTGGCATGATCACTACCCCACCATGCTTCAGTAAGTCTACACCAAATATGTTGAGGCAAGCTCAGTGTTAGAGTTGCAGCAAGCAGCTGCAGCCGCAGTGAAAGATACCTGGACACGATTTAGACATATTTGTGCAACTATTCTATTTCTGAAGTTTTTCACCCAATTATTTATGAAGGGTTTGGCCTTTTCAATGTATCCATGTTCCATGGCATGCCTGTGAGGAATCCAAAAATGGATGCAGTGCGTTGACCAGAAAAATTGCTGGCATAGGCAAACACGGACGATATCCTGGCAATTGTGAGAGGGACCTGTTCAGGTTGCTGAACCTTCCCCTTGAAACTCGGTGTTTGCTTGATTGACATGTTCTTTATTTTTGGTCAGCTGGTGTCAAAACAGAACACGTCTTAAAGGTTTGGAGGTTACTTGAACCTGCCAACGAAGGATCTTTGGGCAGTAGAAACCATTCTACGGGACCCCTTGAACAAGAACAAGACGGAGACAGTCCGTATGCCTATGATCTTGCCGCATGAACTGCTGAACTATCTCACTGCAACTTGGTTCAATCGTCCAATGATTCTAAAGGGCTTGTCTCTCAAATAGGTTCCCACAAACAGCTTTACTCAGAACAACCGTCAGTGGCTGTTCCAACTCAGGTTCACAACAAGATCAATGTGGTGGAACGCGAGAAGAAAACTTATTGGGATCATGTCCGGGCCCACATGGCCCACCACCCAGCCCTAGATGAACAAGACCAAAACCCAACTGGTCAATTGCATCAGCCTGTGGGTATATTTGGCGATGATGCAAAATACACTCTAGCTGGACGGAAGATAATCATTATGCTCTTGAATTTTGTACTTCAAAAGATTGAGAGTGACTTGGTTGTTGTCAGTACACTTTGCAATGAACGCCTGTTTGGGCTAGGGGGCTAGGGTGCAAAGCCGACTTGTCACAAACCACCCAACTATTCATGTTGTTTGCAAGGTTTTGTATGTCCGAGTTTGCTGCGACTGTGGCTAGTGCTTGTTGGTTTTGCTGGGACATTCAATTTGGACTCAAGGACTGGACCTTGCTCGGTTTCCTTTCTTTGTGTTGCGCTATGAAGCATCGCTTGGCCAGCGTACCCTCGACCCAATCTTGAGAGTAGTAGCATGGAGTTTCAATGCCACTTGCTGTGCAAAGTTTCAGTCTTTTGTGTTTAGTCTTAACATTTGTGTGGCCTGTGATCTGGGAAGCTTCGATTAGATCCCATTGAGATTCATGGGCAGGTGGCCTTCATCGGGAGATGGCCATCAGTGGGGCCAAACTCAGAGGAGCTGGATCCAATTCGGCGCAAGAAGGGGGGGACTGCGATGAGCGATCGTTGGGCAGTCGTAGAGTACAGAGGAGATTGGAACATTGGCTTTGCTCCTGAAAAAGTTTTTGCAGCTTTCTCCCAAAAGAAACCTCAAAAATTATGTTCAGAATCTATTTGGTGGTGTTGATGTTCACCTTTCATTTAGTTGAGGAAATGGCAAGTTGAAGTGTGGGGCCTCCGCAAGCACTACAAAGCTTCAAGCATTTGTCATCAATGTGAGGCTAGTACAAACGCTGGAGCATACCAGTTCTTTGCTTGTAAGAACACATTTTGTTTTTGTTGATCTCTTTCTGGCAAGGCTTTCACCTGCAATTGTGTTGATGTTTGATACATACATCCTGCTAAGGTACACGGCTTTTCGTCAATTTGCCACCACTCCACGATCTAACACTGCGCAGTTCATCTTGCAATGCAAACATGTGTCTCCACTCATGTGGATTTGTGGCTGGCATCCAAGCCGGATTACATTTTGCGAGATGCACGTGGTCCACTTAGGGCTGTGCCAATGGTTGAATGCTAGTGGGGTGTTGCTGCTGGCAAACCATGGCTATTTGGGGCCACCTCCACTACAAAGCCAGCTTTGCATCCTCACCTCTCGCTTCAACAAGTGGTGCAGTATCAATCGCATAAGGTGAGGTGTGAAGTGTTGGAGGTCAAACCATGTTGGGTTCTGTTCCACTTTTCCCTGAAAACCAATAAGGTAACAGTAAAGGTGTTTTCCTGGCAGGCACTACCAGACTTTCATACCGGTTGCACTCATTGCAGTGCCACGGGGCGAATTTCCAGAGTTGAGACTCAAGGCTTGGACCTCGCGTGTCTTGATGGCTTTTGTTTCGGTATGCCTCCAAGATCTATGTCGGCAGTTCAGTGACGATGAAAGGGACATAGAGCTGGCTCTTGGAACGGTCAGCTGCACAAGGTTGGCTGCATGGATGTTGCTCATCGAAAACACTCCACGGTACATCTCCAGTGCAAGGGCTCAGGAGATTAGTCAGGCAACATGGTCGCTGCTTGTCTGCTCAAAATCCATCAAATTTGGAGTTGAATCTCTCAGGGGTTGATCATTTCTTGTGTGTGTGTGGGGGGGGCATTCATTCAAACAATTCCCTGTCACAGCTCAATTGTTAGCATGGTTGGTATTGTCTTTGAAGGAGTACAGTCAAGGTTCTTGGATGTCTACCAACAGCTGGCCTCCTTTTGTGTTGCGAATAGCATTTTGCGATGGCCCTTCAAGCCAAAGTTTCATGCAGCATGGTTCATTGGTTTCTTTTGTTTTGTGTGTTTTTTCTTTTCTGTATTTTGCGCAACTAGTTCCTCTAACACTGGTCTGTGGTTGAGCCAGTGAGGCATTCATTGAATTGGACTATGCCATGAAGAACCAGCTCTATTGCTGCCGGTTCTATCACAGCTATTGTGATGAAGACTGTGTGGGGACCGTCAAGGGCCTGGCCCGCAGAGTCAGCAAACGGTTGTTGGAGCTTCGATGTTTGATGCGCTACTTGCTCCGACTCCAAACATATATGCGTCACTGACAGGGAGAGAAATGAAAAAAAATGAGTGTGCTGTGACCAAGGTGACTGTCGAACTTGTGTTGTCGAATGTTTAATAAGATCTGTCGAGTTGAATGACTTCAAAATTTGGATACATTGGGTCTATCGAGGCCAATGTTGTTTCTGAAAGGGTCGAAGCTGAATGTAGGCAAATATACCAGGCATTGGAGCCTCGGGGTATTAGAGATGCTTTAAAATGTGGGTCCCGAGCGTGCTTTGGCGTGTCCGCGCGAACTCCGACAAGCATTGGGATGAGCGGCGCCTGCGAGCTCCAGGTGCCATCAATGCCATCAATGAAGCCTCCCAGACGAGCAACGAGACCAGACTTCCCGGCAAGGCGGGCGTGCGGAGCACCGGGGTTCGTGGGGAGATCCATTTTTTTCCGTCGCACGGGGTTCCGGGACGTATTGGATCTTGGTGGTCTCTATAAGCATTAATTAGAGAACATGCAAATCCTTGAGAGTCGACTGAGGATGGACATGGATTTTGCTTGGTGTCTGTGTGTGATGTGGTCACTCAGTTGTGGTCTCCGCGCCCCACGATCGGCCAACCAATCTCCGTTCCTCGGCGTACCGGATGTGTGGACCCATGTGCCGGTCCAAAACCCCGAGGATTTCTGCGACCTTTGCGTTTGGACCTGGTGCCCCTTGATGCTTTCTATGAACCAATCTGAACCTGCAGGTCGCTGAGCTGGTGACGGACCTGGGCGCTGCCATGCTCAGCTCCTTGGACACCGCCTCCTGGGAGCAGGTCGAAGGGCCCAACGTCACCTTGTGTGTGGCGACCTCGGCCTCCAACGAGGAGCGGACCGGACCAGGGCGGCCGGCGGGGGGCACCACAGCAAGGGCTCACCGCACTCCCAGCTGGGCGATCTTGTGCGGACGTCACGTCACTTTGAAGACGCGGTGTTTGGATCTGAAGTGTGGAGAGTTGGACCTCCCTGGCTTCGATGTTCTATCCCAGACGCTCCATGGGACTGCCATATATGCCTACATTGGGGTGGTTTGGGGTGTCAAAATGTACACCTGGAAAGGCGTATGAACACTTTTGTTTGTGCGAAGGCCGTATTTGGACAGAATTTATCGTATGAACATTTTTATTAACGAATTAGCGTATTTAGCCGTATGGACAGAAAAACAATACCGTACAAAAGCGTACCCATATGAAACCCAAACTTTATCAACATGTTATCAACAAAAACCCAAACAATTATATTGATAAAACCCAATCAAACCCAATATTCGGAGGAATTCCAGAAAATTTGTCGCATTTGAAAAAAAACCGGATGCACGGATTTTTTGTGCGAACGTGTTTGAACAAAAAAAAATGGACATTTGGATTCCCTGGCACATATATATGGCATACATGGAGTGTCTGGGTATAGACTTGTAGGATGTTCTAGGTCGCCGAACCCACCATGCAAGACAGGTCGCGAGTTCATGCGAGTTCCAGGTCCAAATTCCAGTGGATGAAGGTGGCCGATGGCGGCAAAACCGGTAAATCGATGGCATCCTTTCATCGTTTGTGTACCTCCATTGACACCTGAAACCACTCCTACAATGATATGAAACATATTGAACAATATTTTGTGCGTGGACTGTGTGTGCGCCTTCTGTCCACTCTCAGGACAACCACTTGCAGGGTAGGCTTAGGGCCCTCGAGTTCGGAGGCCCTTGCGTTCCTGCAAGTAAAGGAACACCTCCTGGTGCCCTGTACTGGGCGCTTCCTGTTTTTCGAACCAAGTGCCTGTCCGATGGTCAAAGCACGTCAAAGCCACAGTCATCACAGTCCAACATTATGATCGCCCACCCACCCACGCCACCCCACCCCACCCCACCCCACCCCACCCCATCCACCTGCATCAATCTCAACGGGACCCTTGTCTCGCCCCTCGTGCGACATGGCAGCTTGGCAGGTCTTCGACAACCTCTCCATCGACCTCAGTGACAGCAACGGCAGCCGGAGGCTGCAGGTGCTGGATGGAGTGAAGGGCGCGATGGCGGCCATGTACCGGAACCCCTCGGCGTGGCTTGGAGATTGGAAGGGAAAAAGACATTGGTATACACTGATCCCCATAATAAATAGAGGACCTTGGCACGGTCTCCAACACATTTTTAGTAGGGATCTACGTTTCCATCTATTTTGAAAGTCTACTATATATAATGTGGAGTTTGTGGGTCAATGTGTCATGTGTACGCACAATGTGTTTGATTACACAAAGCTGCAAGAGCATCAAGCATTTGCATTTGCCCACTTGCCACTTCCAAGATATTCCAAGTTCTACCGCAAGCTAAAACAGAAAGTCATCACCTTGCATTCTGTGCCCTTTCGTTCCCTTCAAAAGGAAACAAACGATAACATAACAGACACGTCTTTTCTGCACGCTAGACGACAAACATCCAAACGTGGCAAACATCCAAAACCCGCTGCATTCTCGAGGCACCCCTTTACCTGGGCAGACTATCGGGATCCTTTGGCCTGGTCTGGTTCTGCCGTGAAGGTCCTGGAGTTTCAGGGCTACAGCGGACTGGCCACCGTCAGGCAGCTTGTTTTTTGTGGTTCATCCGATCCACTGGTTCTTTTTCCGCATGCAGAGAGAGAGAGAGAGAGACTTTCAGGACAATCAGGAAACGAGCCATCTGGCATAGAAGATCGGGCCCCAGGTATCACAGGTATCATTTGGTCGATGGGCTGACTAGATCGATAAATTTTATGGTCTTATGTTGGGGGCTGACATGGGACGAGCTTTCAGAAGCTTTCAGTGAAGCTGGCCAATGAGTTCGAACTAGAGTGAGATTGCAGCTGGTGTTGATTATTTTCCAACCTTTTTGGAACCATTCGGCATGCCTCCTTAGCCACTCAAGAGGTTTTCTTCTAATTGTGGTTTTCCGACGAGGTCAAAAATAAAACATTAAACACACATACGCCTGTATTTGGGAAGACATCTGTGGCCTCACCCCCCCACCGAACGCCTCTTTTCACCGCTTTCACCTGACACGGGCAGGGTGGCCTTTCCCTGGGCGCCCGTCGAAGGGATGAACTCCTTGTGCGTGCTGCTTCTCGGCGCGAAGAGTGACTCCCGCGGGCGGGTGGGCGGGCTGTCCAATTTGTGTGTATTTGGCGCGTAGTTCGGTTTTCTGCAGACAATTGGATTGACAGGGCCTGGCCCACAGTGAAGGGGAACATGCTGTATGCCCTAATTTAGCCTTCCAAGACCATGATTGACCTGCCTTTCTTGGGGACCTTGGGGCAAAATTCGTTGCAAAGCAATCCCGGAGGGTAATATACCCCAGTGATCCAGTCGTACCTTCTCAGCAGGTGATGTGTTCGACACCGCTATTTGGGTGCCAGGAGGGTCCAGTCGTACCGAACCTGAGAAGGTACGACTGGATCCATAGTGCCATCGGGATTGCATGTTTCCATAGGCAACATCCCCCCCAGTTCACTGGTTTCGAGTGTCAGGCTGGATGAGGGCAGCTGGAGCTCCACGAAGGGCTCCTTAAGCACCTCCATCTTCAACGATAAGGCTTCTTTCATGCCAGCTTCCGATGCGCGGCGCGTTATTTAGGGGAGACCTCCATGTCATGTGCTTCACCGGCGGAAGTCGCTCGCTACGAAGCTCGTCGCAGCGCTTCAGACTCGGACCGCGGTCGTCCGCGATCGACTGGGGTCGACCTCGGACCTACGTCGTCGCGACTTCACGCGTCGTCCTCGCGTCGCTCGCAGGTGGTCTGCGACTTCACGTCCGACTTGCAAGGCCGCGAGGTCCTCACGGTGGCGCTCCAAGCCACCGTAGCTCCGCGGCGACGGGCGAAGTGGTGCGAAGTGGTGCGACGTGGTGCGATGTCGACCGCGGGTGCCGTGTGGTTTCTGGGTTGGTGGGGGAAGGAGGGGGAAGGTGGGTGGGGAGGTGGGGACTGGGGTGCTTTGGTTTTGTGATGTTGATGGTTTTGGGGTCGTGTGCAACAACATTTGGGTGCCAAAATGGCTCCAAGCAAGACCAGTGATGATCAAAGAGTTTAGCCACCCTCAACCTTGCGGTTGCTCAAAGTTTAGAAACATCATTTGAATCACGAGAATCACAGAGATTTGATGAATTATCGGCCCGATTGGTTCTTCCCACGGCTTCAGAACGGCCCACTGCGGACCCCAGCTGCCGCAGAACATGGGACGTCCCGTCCAGGGGCTCCGACACATGGCGACCAGCCCCGATCGTCCCGTCCGTTCCGCCGCCGCCGCGTTCTTCCATCCGCTCAGCAAAGGTGATGTTCGGACGTGGCCAGCGCGTGGGTCTGAGGTCAATCGGCTGAACTGGTTCGTTTGGATGTCGATGTTGGCCTTCACTGTTCTGATCCAGTTCCTCCTGCCATGCCTCTTCGGCACCTACAAGTTCGAGACCAGAGAGAGGTACCGGAACCGGCAGTCGCTGAAGGAGGACCAGACCTGGAGACCAATGGGAGCGGCTGACCCATTTTGGAAGTTGGGTTTGGGAATGGTTTTGAGATGTTGTGAGACACTATACCGTTCAATGAAGTTGTGATTCCACAAAAAAAACACTATACTCAACATACAGCGAAGGTCTAGGTTTTACAATGGGTATTTGAGACATCGATGTAGGGGAGATCTTGGGCCTCGCCGTTCATTGAACCCCTTCAAAAAGGATCGGGTGGACGGCCATGACCGTCCCATGACCATCCCCAAAAGCCGCCGGGCCAAGCAGACTCGGATTTCATCCATCCATCCGTTTCTTCCAGCGCAGGAGGAACGGAGGGAAGCCTGGCCAGATGAGAGCCCCAGGCCGCCCATCACGGCGCTGGAGCCCCGTTCCGCCGTTCTCGAGCCCGGCGCGGAACGCCGCGGAACGCCGCGGAACGCCGCTGAGAGCGAAGGCGAACAGACGGTCGATCTCGAGGAGTGCCGGAATGAACAGGCTCTTTTTTGAGTGAGGTCATATTTTGTTGGGTCGAACCCTTAGTCACTTTGTTGCGAGGACGTGTTACACGTGTTTGGCATCAGAAAGAGTGAGGAACCATGAGCAACCTGTCGACGTGAGACTAGCTAGCGGGATGGACTGCTTATAGGGGACCCGGAAAGTGCTTGGCCGACCAAAAGCCCGGCACCGCCGGGTTGGTGCACCCGGAAACAGCCGGAGCCAACGGAGCCAGAGTCTTCGTCCGCGTGAGGAGCCGGTGCCCACGGAGCTGCGAGCGGAGCTGCCAGCGAAAGAGGGGGCTCCTTGGGTGTTTCCACCCGAGATTGGACCTGCGGAGCTGCCGAGAGCGGAAGCGGAGCCGGTGGAGATGGTGGAGTCGGTGGGGACGACGTGAGGCGGCTTGCGGGGGAGGGGAGGGTTGTTCGGTGCTGGAGGGAGGTGTGACACAGCTGGATGGAGCTGGATGGATTTGCCTAGAAGCCTAGAACTGGCATGAGCTGTGGGTCCTAAGCCTAATAGTTCTGACGCCAGGCCCCTCCAGCCCGACGCTGGGCGGACTTCACGGACTTTACGTTCGGATTCGTGATTTGAGTCGGAGTCGCTCCATAAAGCGCGACTAAGATGATCTGTGGTAAAGCTTCCTGGTGAGTGCAGAAGCATCTTGGCCACAAACGGCACTGGGTGCGAGAATGGCTCTGGAAAGATGAGAATAATTAGATTGAACTGAATTCCTGGACGTTCGGGAGGGCTCGCTTCAACGTTCACTGCATGGTTCATGTACACACTGTGGGATTGGTTTTGCTGTTGAACGCGGAAAACCCACCCAATGTGGATGCCTGTCAAGCAACATTTATATATATATATATTATATACGTATATTATATGAAAAGACAGCACGCTCAAAGGTTCTCCTGGCTCAAATGTCAAAGGGAGACCTCCTCACCGGCTGGAGATCGATTTCAGTGGAAGGAAATGGCTTCCAACGTGGCCACCGGTGGCTCTGCAAGTTAAGCTTGGAACGATTTGCATCACTGAAAACTCTGTGATGAACGCCTACATTTAGGGGACCGACACCCTAGTCACCCGCCACCACGTAGTCACCTGCCTCCCTTCGAAAGCAATTCAATTGGTGGATTGCTTGGCCTAGAAGCTACTCGTACAAAATTCAAGTCATGTCTCAGGCATCCCGGATGACATTCCTTGACGTATATAGTCTCCTTCTTGAAGGATTTGCATACACAAGTGCCAGCTCGAAGTGTTGGCAAGTCAACCAGTTGAGAACATGGCCAACGTTCCAAGATACTCAATCCTGAGCCAAACTTCCGACGCGACTGTGAAGCGCGCGGCGCCGTTTTCGGCGCTTTGTTTTCGGAGCTTGATGGAAACCCAGGAGCTTCGAAAGCCGTGGTTTAGTTTCAAGTGTTTGAGGAAAGTGCACTCTCAACCGTCAGGAGCATCCAGCTGGAAGCATGAGGTATTACTGCAATACAGAGACCATCCCTTGTAATGGAATATCGGAATATCCTACATTGACCCCCCTGGCACCATCCCAATGTGAGCAATATGCCATGCATGGATGTTCTGGCGATACAGATGATTTGTACACAGTTCTACTTGGATTCTCCTCTTCGGAATCAGCTGGTCGAAGGGCTTAACGTCGACACTTGTCCTTGCACTTGCCCCGACCTGGCCCACTCGGCCGCACTGGGGGCGGACCTCGTCCGTCGGCCGAAAAGGTGAGGTCACAGGAGTCCACAAAGGCGAACGGCCAAGCGCATGACTTGGTTCACGATGCTCGGATCATCCAAACACCCCTCCAAGAGGTTGCCAAGTCAACATCTGAGACCTGCAGTGTGTAAATCAGGGGGACCTCCGGCTGCCCAATAGGTTTTTGGCAGTGGTATTTAGTAGTATGATGTCTATGACGTCGACATGTCCAGGGGGTCGTAACGCTGAAGGTCTGTCTCCGGTTTTTGAGACACACCGACCTCAAGAATCCTCATCTGAAACCATGGCTCCACACACCGACGCCCCCACTCACGCCACGCCATGCATGCCATGCACACGGCGTGAACGGCCGTTCGGCCGTTCGGCCGAACGTTGTGGATCCACGTTCTCGTCCTGAAAGGAGCTGAGAATGTCCGACTTGGTGCGTGAGGAACGACAATGGTGAACCAAACAGACCCGCTGAGTTGGAGGGATGACTTGCAAGGTTCTTGGTTCTGCGTGCACCGTGAATGTAGTGTTTTGTTTTTCAATAATTTCAGATCTTTATGTCAATCATGTTTAATTTCTGCAAAATCGCTGCCACTCAAGTACATCTTTAGTACTCGAAAGGTTGGGATTCCGTCCACTGCGTGATTCCAGAGGAAACGTTTGTTCACTGGATTATCATTTGGGGAAAAGGCAAGATCTGGTGACCTCGACGACGGACCAAACGGGCACCTGGCAGAATTGTTGTTTCTGATGTTTCTGAACCTCTAATTGTACGGTTCGAACATGCCAAGTTCTCCACTTCTGGCGGAGGGTTCATTGTGGGCACTGAACTCAAATGGGTTTGGGCCCCTTGAACTGACGTTTTGGGCGATTCTGGTGTCCTCCATGTTTTCCGAACATCGCATCTTCCGAAGCTCGCAACTGCGTGGACCTCATGGAGCTTGTCGCCGCATCGTCTTGCCGCTCCACTTTGGGCTCAAAATAGTTTGCTTAGTCTCAGAGAGAGGAGTTTCAAATCCATCATACTCCATCAATTCTTCCTCAAAGAGGGGTAAGGAGGTTTGGCGTTAAGCATGTTTATCAGGATCCGACTTCATGGGCCAAGAGAAGTGCAGCAAAAAGACACATGTAGCCCACATCTCTGAGGGTTTTCTCTCGTGTCATGATCCATTACCAGTTGACTTCATGGTCTTCCAATAGTCCTTTGGTGTTCATTTCTGCATCGTTAGGATTTTTTATCGGCTGCAAGCTCCAAAGAACACGTGCAACTGGTCCTGCGCAGATAAACAAACATGCTGACTGGGGGGCAAGCACGGAGAAACTGTCCGACTTCCCCGATGAAAGGATGCAAGCTCCAACGGTTTCGACCCTGAAGGACTACTTCGAGCACGGCTACGATGCAGGTGCGCGCGCGCGTTTGGGCGCTCTGCGCTGCGCGTTTCGCGGCGCGGCGCGGTTCGGAGATGGCTCCGTTGGGGATCGAAGCAAAGTACGGCAGAACAGCATCGAAGGACTCCCCTTGCAGAGAGGACCACATGGAACCGGACACCTATAGCATCCTATAGCTGGTCCTTGGTGGTATGAGGAAAAGGGTGGAACCGGGTGTAAAAAAGCCAGGTTCCGGAACGGGGTCCGATGGCGAGGTGTGTTTGTGCGGATATGTCCCTCCACCCCGCGATCGATGTCCCTCCTTAATCCGGCTCTCCGCAGGGGTCGGACCCGACACCGAAACGCAGGGGTCCGGGCCCGAACCAAACCCTATGTGTTGGTTCGGGCCCGGATTCTGAGGGGGAAATAGGCCAGTCTACCCGGCGGGCGAAAGGACTCAGGGTTCTCCCCATTGGTCGACCAATGAACTCATTGGGTGGTGCCGGTGCCTTCGGCTCTTCGGCTACTCTATCCAACACATCCAACGCATCCACTGGCAAGCCCATGTGCTAAGCCCTTCCCCAAACCGGCAAGCAAAGGATCCAACCAAAGACAACTGTGCCCATACTCTCCTTGCCCGCCACTCTCTCTCTCTCTCTTTCGGCACCGAATCCCGAAGCAAAGACCCAGAACCCAACTCTCCACTGCAGCTCGCTCAGCCTCCCAGCTCAGCCCGCCTCTCAGGACTCATCTTTGAACACCCGGACTACACCTTCTGCGAGGAGCACTGGGGCTATCACCACCACCCCAGCGGCATCACCGTCTGGGCAGATCCCCTGGACCTCCGCGACACAGGCGCGGTGGAATCAGCGGTTGGTAGCGCAGCGGCGGCGTGGTGAGGTCGGAGGGTCATGGGTCTATACCAGGACCCTCCAAGGCGTGTCTATTTATAGCCCCTTAGCTGTCAAGGGGTGTCCATGAACCATGCCCTTGAAGGCCTTGGTATATATTCTGTATCACAGATGTATTACCAGGACCTTCCACTCGTGACATCTTCTCGATTGGTATACGTCACCTTTTCAAGACCGTTTTGCGACCCGATTTCTGGGATCTCAAAAGGTCACTGGGAAGGCCCTGGTAAGGAGGAGACGTTGTTTGTTTGTTTTGGGGGGGGAGGTTCTTGGAGGCAACACAGGATTTTTCAGGGCACTTGGATCTCGGAAACTCTCCCTGGACAGCCATCAGAAGATCAGCTACTGAGTAGCACCATTCATGTCAGAAACTAAGAGATCACCCGCTCACGTGGTGAGGATGTTCTTTGAAGGACCAACTTCCCATCGTGATTTGCAAGAGACAGTATACGACATACACATATAGCAATAGAGGTACCCAATCTCAGGGTGCTGTTCCTTTTGGATTTATCGACAAGTTAAGTTGATGGCCATGTTCCAGAGTTCTTGGGCTGCGTGAGGGATTGCACGCGTGCTTGGCAGGAGATGAAGAAGGGCAGGTGCTCTTTCATTATACGACGCAGCTGGCGTATCAGAACATCACGAACGAAGCCAAGGATGCTTGACTATAATTGGACCAGCATTGAACATGTCCAGGTTCGTTTGGAGAGGGTGTGCGAGAGAAACTTTGCACGGCACAGCGGGTGCGAGATATAGACCTGTCAACTTCACCTCCAAGCTATAGCAGCATTGAAAACCTGCAAGAAGCTCTAATTATTCTATATATCACTTTGACTTCCAGCGGAGGGTTTGCGTCTTTGGGTTTAATAAAGTGAAATGATCCCGTAAGGGATCCTATAGAGGTCTTGTCCAAAACTTCCAGATGTCATTATGTCGTTTGAATTTTGCGGCCACTTCTGTAGACACCCCGGGATGAAGTTTCCCACCCCTGTCGTCCTAGTTCAAGTGGTACAGCTGAAGGATCCAGTTGTTTTTTCGGGATTGGGAGGTGGCACAAGGGGCGGCGATGCTCGTTTGATTTTGCATATACATATAGGAAGCTTCTCTCAAGCATGTCTGGCACTGGAAACCCATCCATCAACAACACCTGTATACAAACAACTCATGCATCGCACTGTCATCGTCTCAGACTCTCAGTCTCCAGTTCTTTCGGTGGCTTCTTCGGATCTCCTTCGGGCGACGCACCGCGACGCACCCGGCACCTCCGTGTCCGTCTCCGCTGCCGCGGGATGCGCTGAAAACCTGCGCGAGAGCGCGAGCAGCGTGCGATGCGCCGAGGAGAAGGTGGAGCTCATGGCGTCCATCCGCACCGAGGGCGAGACAGCGAACGCCTGGTGGG